CACTGACTTTATAAGTAGCACTTCATTTTCTTAAGTACTATTTTTCTTATAGACTACTTATTTTCATTCTTTCAGACAAGTTGATTAATTCATTATTAGTAGGTTGTAGAAATAATCTTATCATTACTATACTCTAACTACTCAATTAATATCAGTAATCATTTAAAATTATGTTGTAAAAATCATTTGATTTTGACTGGTAAAATTGAAATGAATAGTTTCTTTTTGAATCCGAATTTATAATTCAGTGATTGAAAATCGAAGAAAATATACATTAGTATATCTTGTTTAAATTGATATCATGAATGGATGCGTGTTAGACCACCATTGAAAATCTGAAAGCAGTCGCTTCGTCCCAGTATGGGACTCCTCAGCAGTGCTAGCCGACGATCCCAAACGCGGGACTTAAACCCAGTACCTTCAATGTCAGGTGCCAACGCTAAACCTCTAGACCATTGAAACTGGTATCCAACGGTGTTAATGTCTAACTCCAACCAATCTACGGTATTGTGCGACTGTCCACCATTGTCTTCAATGAGCAACTGCCTCACAACAGACACGGTTGATCTCCACACACTATGACTTCTCATAAGAACTTCAGGGAATTCATCTTGAAGCCAGTCACTATAGAGCACATGATAATTATCAGTATAGGGTTGTGGAGATTTTTGAGTTTAAATTGATATCATGGATGGATGAATGTAAAACCAATAACACTGTTGGACACTGGCGCAATAGTCTAGAGGTTTAGCGTTCGCGTACGAGACTGAAAATTCTAGGTTCTAATCCCTCGTATGGGATCGTGGATGAGCACTGCTGAGGATTCCAGTACTGGGACGAAACGACCATCTAGTGCTTTCAGATATTCAATGGTGGTCCAACACTCATACATTCGTGATATCAGTTTAAACTCAACAATCTTCACAACCCTATATTGATAGATTTTGCTTAATCTTTTAGTGTACTTTTAAAATGAATTATTTCAAATATAAGGGTATATTTTAGTCCACTACCTTCAGTGTGATTTACATTTGATTTTCTGAATAGTTAGCAGGCAATTTGAGTAGTGAATTTAAATTAACTCATTCAACAGATACTTGGTCATTAGATAGCACCAAAGTGTGAATGCCATTAATCATATCCAGTTGTTTAAACTGATATCAGTGGAGCGGGTTTCGAACGTGGGACTTAGTGCCTAAACGTTTAAATGATTAAGAGACCTGTTAAAATTGTGATTGGTTCCATTTAGTCCACTATATTTCTGTAATTCATCTCGATCATAAAACTTGAAATTATTGTTTTCAAAATGTTGATCAATAAACTGAAGTTCATGTATAAAATTTACTTCAAGAAGAAGTTTTGTAGTTTTGTAAAATTACGTCACGAAGGCGAGATATCCGTCTATCAATTAGCGGACAAGTATACTACACAACAGTTCGTTCTGTTTTATTTTACAGTTGCGAAACATCGTCATTAAGAGTAGAAGATACTCGTAAGTTACTAGTATTTGATCACAGATGTCTTAGAAATATCGACAGCATCTGTTGGGATCATCGAGTAAATAATAGTGAGGTTAAACACAGGGTATTAGAGAATGATAGTAAATCAGTTGATGAGGTTGTAAATGTTCACCGACTGAGATGGTTGGACCACGTGTTACTTATGCCTGAAAACGGATTACCACGACGTGCAATGCTGACTGGTGTTGGGAATGGTTGTAAGAGAGTTAGGGGTGGCCAAACTAAAACGTGGCATCAGTCCATAAAGTCACTAGCTTCTAGTCTGTTTCGTGTTGGTAGATTCAGACTACTTGATTGGAGTCGGTGCTACTATCGTAACCAATGGTTGGAGTTCCTGTGTGACATGACTCAGAATCGATCATATTGGTGTAGGTGTATACACTCTTCGTCTTCCCTTAAACTTTGAGATTAAAATAACTTTATATCTTTCTTTCCACGAACTAATTCTTTCTTCGTGTACTATATCCTTATATGCAATCTTTCTTTTATATATTACTACTATTTAATCAACTACTATGCATTTGTCCATCTTGTTGTGCTAATGTGATGTGGCGGCTTGAACCGATGTATATATGGGCCTGGTTCTACGTTGTAGCTGACTAACTGACTGGTCGGAATGACAATTGTGTCCCTGAGATATCATCAGTTTCCTTAAGAATTAGATATTTACGTCGATCAATTGTATTGAATTTTCCACTACATGATTCTCATTCAAAATTGGTGTAGTTTTTATGGCTAAAAAGCAATCTATAAACATTTTATTTAATATATATCAATTACATAGTTGAAATCATAAGTCAATTGAAGCTAGACCACTATGGAAAACCTGGGAGCACTGGACGGTTGTTTCGTCCTATTGTGGGACACCTCAGCAGTGCGGATCTGTTGTGAGATAGTAACTCGCTGAAGACATTGGTGAATGGTTGCTTGATTTCGTGGATTGATTGAAGCTAAACATTAACACTGATGGATGTTCGCGCGCGAGACTGGGTTCGAATCTCACGAGACGAAGTCATGGATGCTTGCTACTGAGGAGTCCCACAATAGGACGAATCGGCTCTCCAGTGCTTCCAGGTTTTTGAAGGTTGTCTAGCTTCAATTGACTCATGATCTCAACTGTATAAAATTACTAAAATCTCCACAAAACCCCCTTCTAATAAATATCATTTACATTAATCTCATTTATTCACTTCTTTCTCTTTTATTATTTTTTGAATGATTGATCAAATTTCTCCCGTAACACACAAACTTTCTATTTAGTTTTTTCCTATACTAAGAATGACTAGTTCAACAACAAGAAATTTGTAGTCATGTTGAAAAATTTATCGAATTTACTATATGGAAAACAAACACTTAATGGTTGACCAAAAAAAAAATCAATTAAAATAGATAGATAAATGGATGAAGAATGGGAATTCAGGTTAACACGGAAACATTGTTTTCAGACTCTTTTTCTTTTAAAGAATAAAGCCAAATAACAGTTGATTGTTGTTTGATTATTTTTTTGTTCTTTGTTTCCTCATTTAAAAATTTATTTCATAAGGGAATGTTTTGATAAAGATTATGCTTTATGTATGTGTTTGTGTTTGTGTCTATACATATGTGGCATGTATATTGCTAGTAATCTAGTATATTAATTACATTTTAAGATCGAACTGTGGATGTGTATCATTCATGGGAAATGTTTAGTCATAGACCAACTTTGGGATGTAAATTATAGGTCGATTACAATATACTATTAATCTGAATTCCATTGAGAATATACCTGTTCTGTAGAAAGGAACTTAAGCGACTATGGATATGCCCTAAAGAAATATTCTATTTATAGTCGATGAGAAAACAGGTGTTAAGAATTTATCATTAATTCACTATTTACATAAAGTTTGTTATGGGCTTAAATGTTTTATAATTGAAGTATGTTCTTTACAGGAACTTACGAAAACTCATTAGTATGATTCTTAATCATTCTTCCTTGTTCATCTTTACATAGACACATATAATTTTTCTTTCCCGTGACCACACAGCTTCATGTTGCTAGTGTATGCCATAGTGATAACGTCTACGAAACGATATCTCTGAACTTCCGTTTCTTAATGGTATTTAGATATGAAAGGGTAATCTTAAACTTTCCTGTCCTCTCTAAACAAAGTTGTTGCAGATTGAAAATACTCCTTAATAATAAAAAAGGCTCAATAATACTTCGAAGATACATGAGTTGGCTGAAGTGTTCAACTACTTCATTCCCTATTATTAATCCAGAGGATGATGCAGATCAGTATTGAAGCATCATTTTACATTTAGAAGGAGATATATACAAAAAACGTGTGTGAATCGATACTGAAAGAGATCAGAAGACTTTCCGTTCCCTTAACGTCTTTACCATATAAGACTATGTCATCATTGTATTCTAAGTCGATAAGCGAACCACCTAGTGCAATATCAACCTCTCAAAGTTTAGATGAGGAAAATGTGATGTGGCAAAACTAAATAAAAAGGGGGTATGTTAGACAATCCGAATGAACACCACTTAGTACTGATATTTCTGATGGTCGTTCAGCACACACTATGAATCGACTAACAGTATTTGAGTAAAGAACCTTCAAAAAGTTTATATACTTCCTTAGTACATCCTTTAATTATAAACACTGACATAGAAGCTATACTTACACTGGTAAGAGCACCAGAAACTGTTGTTGTGTCTCAAGAGGCACGAAGGATGTACCACGTTGGCTCTCAATATCGGTTACGTGATGTCAAGTTAATGATTATGCAAGTATATTGTATGCGTGTTTTGGAGATAGCACACATCAACTGTACAAGATTCTAATGATACCTGTAACCCTATTTGAAATGAGGTTCAGGCAAAGAAGCAGGTCGGTCAGATTCTCAGCTTTGCTGTTCAAAAAAGATGTCTGGCACAGCATGACTGGCGTAACAGGTTGTTAATAAATCCTTTTTGAAGTTATACTCTTCATTGTATGTTTATAGATCGGTCGAAGGGACATACGGTAAATCGACCGAACTTCAAACCCTTAAAACTTTTATTCCCTCTTCCCGTGCTAGCCCCTAAATAATGTATAACGATGTTTGATAATCACCCTTGCGATGACAGCCCTTTATAATCCTCTCCCTTTTTTTTACTCACATCCTTACGAGTGGATCGATTGGATCACATTTGATTTGTTTTTTGACATTAATTTTCAGAGTTCTTTCTGAAAATATGTTCAGAACCAGTTGTTTCTATGATGCCTATTAACTTCCCGTTAAACAGAGAATGTCTTACACATATTCAGAAACATAAACACCCTATTCAATAGTTATTATCGTAAGTACTTAATTCAAAATTCTATGTGACTGATACTGATTTTAATTTAACAAGCACCTATTAAAACTCTGATTTTGTTGGTTTATTTTATTGAATAATTTATATTATATACTTTGATTAACATTTTGTTGATTTCCCTCATCCATTTTTTGCAGTATATTTGGCCATTACCATTTCCTTATCCAAAGAATTACTCATGGACACCAATTCTAATGTCTATTGATCATTCCACAAATATAACATCTCGTCATATTGAATATGAAAAGTTACTTAAAATGGACTGTCAAAATTCAACATTAAAACTCAACCATAAATATATGAACTTAACAAATTTCTATCATAATCATATTAAAAGCAAATCCTCAATTAAGAATGAAGGATCTGGTGAAAAATCCGCTGATGTTTATAATGATAATTTACAAGAAAATAAATTAGAATATTCCATGGAATTATTAGATGTTAATTATCCAAATGAATTTTTAGAAGAACTTCATCATTTATGCAAATTGTCACCGTCATCATCGTCATCATCAAGAGGAATACCATCAAAAACTAATAGATATACATTTGCAAATGAACAAATGATTTGTCAATGTGATATTTTACAATGTATAATTGATAATCGTCTAATTGAAATACAATCCCGTCTTGTATACGGTGATCAACTTACTTTGATGATGATTGAACAAATAATGTTTGATTTATTCGAGATACAATTGCCTAATCAAAGTGTAAGTAATGAATGAATGAATTAATTAATTGTGATTAACCAAATATAATTAGAATTTTATATAATTGAGATCATGAGTCAATTGAAGCTAGACCACCAGGGAAAGCCTGAAAGCACTGGACGGCCGTTTCGTCCTACTGTGTGACTACTCAGCAGTGCACATCCACGATCCCACCTCGCGAGATTCGAACCCAGGACTTATCAGTCTCGCGCTCGAGCATTTAACCGATAGACCACTGAGTTGGCCGGCATCCAACGGTGTTAATGTCTAACTTCAACCAATCTACGAAGTTGAGCAACCATTCACCAATATCTTCAGTGAGCTGATATCTCCCAACAGACGTTGGTGAATGGTTGCTCAACTTCATGGATTGGTTGGAATTAGACATCAAAATAAGTATTCAAATCAAACTGTTTGACTTTTGCTGTATATATATCAATAAGAAAATCTGTGATCAAGTGTCAAATATGAGATCACAAATTCCTCAATGAATATTTAACTCTGCTAGTTGTAATTGATAAGAAAATATGATGTTCTCTAAATGCTCACTGGTATTTTTCTATATTCGAACATGAGAATTAATTTAGGTGGTTATCGTATAAAGAATTATCCCAAATGACACATTTCTCTGAATTCTTTATACTCAATCTTTCTAAACATTCTCCTAATTTGATAAAATGCATTCATTCTACTTATTGATCTTTATCAGTGTGTTTTCAACTAATAATACAAAGAGGAAATAGCTTTTAAGTTTTCTGAATTTTCAAGTAGGACTCACTTCCCCATTTATTTCTTGTATGATATAGACTGACCTATTAAGTTAAAACCTTGAACCGTTTAACCCTATTGCACAGACTATTACTTATACAGAATGAATTATCTATGTGACCGAAATGATGAACAGTGTCCCGTTGTTTGGGATGATGAATGCCGATGACCGATGAATAAATTAGGTATCTATTAAATTATCTTCATGTACAAGTATGTGTTTAGACTGACAGTTAAATATTCCTGACGTGCTAGATTTATATAGATTGATTATACATTTTTATCATTTTATTGAATTTAAAAACGTTTATACAACAGGACATTCTTTTTGACTGTAACAAGGTCGCATATCAACAAGTAAATTTCTCCACTGAATGTATACATGAGCTCCTATTGTATCAATATCTTAACATATGAATGTGAAATTAGTCAAATAAACCATTGGATACAAACTCAATAGTCTAAAAGTTAAGTGTTCACAATGAGATCTGAATGTTCTGAATTAGACCTCATGGGTGCGTGCACTGTTGACGAATTCCACATTGGGACATGTTAGTTACACAGTGTTTGCTAGTTCTTATCGGTTGTTTAACTTAAATCAGTCCGTCTTGTTAACTTTATGATAGTACTTTTATTGATTTAAGGCATAATTTCTTAAATTTAGCATTTACAAATACCACAATATTTTTATTTTGATATGTTTATACATTAGTTTGATGAGCATGCTTTTTTTAACTAGTAAGGTTTGAATATGTAGGTTGTTAATTGGCATTATGTTTTATCAACATTAATTTACTCAATGTCTATAGTTTTAAAATTGGGAATCTTCCATGGATTCAATACAAAAATACTTCATTAGATTGACTATACATAATAGATCATATGTTATGTTTGTTAAAGTATACTACTACTATTACTATTACTACTACAACTACTGAACATAACACTGGTTGGGGACAATCGAATGTATTGAAGCGAAAATTACAGACTATCTCAGTAAATTCAGAAAACCATACAATGGACAGTTAATTTGCAAATTAACAACCAGCAGTCTCAATCTTCACTGTTTCTTCTCTAATTCCATTGTTCGTGCATTTTCTTACTGATTGCCCTTTGTCTCAGTTCTTTCCTCATCAGTCTTCTGCGAAAATACATTCTATGTCTGACCAACACCATATACTACTTATATAAGTAGACCACACCACACTACAACTACTAATAGTAATAGTAATAATAATATACAAAATATCCACATATTTCAAACCATATTACTAATGATTGTTTATTCATTTACATTTGATTTGTAAAACTGAATAATTCGATAATATTTGTCATTAGTGTATAGAATAATCAGAGTAGAACAACTTATCTTCTACTGGTTAAAAGGATGGCAGAAAAATATTGTATTTTCCCTAAAAGTTCAAAGGGTTATATACTATTGTAAGCAAAGATGGATAGTGGCTAGTAGTGGAATCCAGTTTGACGCGCGTTTCGTCCTATCCATCTTTGCTTACAATCCTTGTGAATCAGGGCTATATCGAGGCAATACGCACAGGATGCACATATGCCAATTAGAGACTGACCAGTTGCAGCCCTAAACATCAATGGGGAGATTCAAACAAACAACACTAAGTGAATTTAGGTTATATATTATGATTTTCACTTATTAGATGTGGGTAAATGTGTAAATCAATGAGTTAATAGTTGTCTTGTTGATGTTATACTGGCGTGGATTTTGTCATCTCTTATGACCTATCAGATATCACGAGACAAAATTGCAAGTCAGAGCATCGACTTATATTATTTTATCCCTGTGCTAAACCAATAATGTATTAACTAGCATGAGCAGCTTAGAGCCAAATTTGAGTCCGTTCAGTCCAGGACACAAATATTGGTCTCCGTTGTATGAATCGTATATTTCAGATATACTTACCTTATATACAGGCAAACAATTATGCAAGATCAAGCCAAAGTGATTGTGAGTGTAGGATACTGTAAATGATAAAATGAGAATAAGTTAAGAATGGTAAATCATATTGCAGTAGCCAACAGGTCAAATGAAAGCTTATGATAAAGGGAATATAAATATACACTTAATCTAGTCACTTAGGAGTTATCCAATAAGGATATATGTAATAGTAGTCCAAAAAATGATTCCTAGCAATTACTATTCATTTATTCTTCGTTCGGATATAACAGATTTACTAGGTTGGAAATGAAATATACACCAGAATACAATCAATATGATGATTATTTAGGTTGGACATTTGCGGATTTCTTGTGTGGAGTCGTAACTATCGGAATTAAACCATATCGGGGAGCCAGATAAATATCATCAATGGAAATAAATGATAATTACACAATATCACAAATTGACTGAATTTACTGGTTTAAACTATTTGGGTGCTAGCTTAGTAGTCTAAAGGTTAGGTAGCGCTCTCTGCTATCTTTAGGTAGTTTGAATTTTATTCCTTATATTTAAATTTTATTCTTGGATGTAGATGTAAACTGTTGAAAGGCCACAAACTACGAGTAAATAACTATTGATCGCCTCCTGATTTTCAAGGGTTCCCTGGTTGATGCCAGTTTGTATCGAGGTTTATTTTGGAAAAAACGATTATTTTATTTTAAATAAAGTGATTGTTAGCATCCATCATAACCATAATTGGTTTATTGTGTATCACTGCAAATCAAGGAGTCACCAAAAGCTATTTCGGGGGAGTTTTCGTATGTCTACATTGATACGGTCGTCCCTAACGGTACTGGATGAATATCGTGCTTCATCATAAATCGATCGAAAGTTTAGATGTATACCAGTCAACGCCAACCCAATGATTTAATGAATAAGCATTCATCACAGAGTATGAAAATTAAGAATGCGATCCCTGATGGGGTCATCGGTGAATATGCCGAAAGACTTCCTAAATACGACTAACCCCTCTCTAACTTTCCGTGATGTCCTAAATTGCATCAGTATGTGAATATTAGTGTATTTTTCTCAGTTTTAAAGAACGATACATTGGTTCAATATAAACTTCATCAAAATAATATGATTGATATAGTTATCATATGTATATTTTCTATTGAACTCTGTAGATTCTACAAGGTGATTCAAAATCTCATAACTTATGGATGAATATTTATTCTGATTGTATAAAATATTTACGGAATGGTTTTACAAAATATTTATGTTCTGTACTTAAAAATGATTCAAAATCAAATACATTCAATAATTCACAATTTGTCAATGAATTCGATATTCCAGGCAGTCAAAGTTTCAGTAAACGTTGGCATCAGAAACTACAAATAGACAAGTTGGAACAAAATACATCAGAATCAGAGAAACAATTTCCATTCTTTATACACTTGATTGTAAGTTTGTTAGACAGGGTTTTATGTTTACATTTCTAACTAACAGATGAAATTCACGCTATTATTGTTACTATTGTAGTGAACCAGAACACGACTGAGGAAAATCGAATGTATTTAAACACAACATTACATAATATCTTATTAAAATATGAGAACCATATAGTGAACAGTTAATTTACAAAACAACAATCAGTTGTCACAATTTGACTGTTCCTTCTGCGAATATCCATCCATAGTCTCCGATTTTAATTGTTCATGCATTTTCGTACCAATTGCGTGTCGTTCCCGTTCTCTCTTTATCGATCTTCTACTGAAATACATTCAATGCCCGACTGTCACCATATACTACTTATATGTATATAAGTAGACCACACCACACTATTACTATTAATATTGTTAATGGCTTTATTGAATATTATATTTTTGTTACAATATATAATTCTCAGCACTACCACCACTAAATTAACTATTTCTATGAATCCGGTGTTCATCTTGTTGTGCTAACGAGGTATGGCAACTTGGACCGATGCATAAATGTGCCTGGTCCTACGTTGTAGCTGACTGACTGACTGACAAAGCATTTCAACAAGTTTCCGTTTTTTATTTCTTGATCGATCCTGACAATAAATATTGAGTGATTGCCAGTTAGATGTTAGCAGTTTAGAAATTGACATCTGAATAATGTTCGGTCTTTTTAATGCATATTGTCAGCAGCCACGACTTCTCTGATTGTATTTTTTTTGTAATTTGTACAGCGAAAGGTCGTAAACGTTTCACAAACGCATCTGAATAGGTTATATAAACCATTGATATGATGGTCTGTTAAAACAAAAAACCCAGATAACTTGTTGAAATATCTAGATAGCAGGAACAGGTAGCCCAGATATTTAAACAGGCTGCCTCATATATTGTGATGACTCATTCTTTTAAACAATATCTCTAAGATGTGTTGAATATTGTAACTAGTCTATTTACCTGCTCAGGTATATAAATGTATATACATATATGTCATTTAAACACATAATAGTAGTTAGTGTCATATTGTCTAGTCCTTAATTCAGATTGAATTCAATTTACCAGGTTTTAATGTGTCCAGATACTTTACATAGGTTTGATTTCCATGGAGAATCTCGGTTTCATAAACATTAGGTATACGTCTTATTAATGAGTCTCAACTTGGAGCGAAAACAAGAACTACAACTTTCTTCTGATAACCTATCGCTTGATATATCTATCTATATAAGGAAGATTCATCAACTATTTGTCGATAACTTGGTGTGTTCGTATTCAGTCTACTTTTATCGTGTTCAAACCATGAAATTCTGAGTAATAACTGTACTAAGATACTATGCTTAAAAAGTAATCATGTATTCTTTTGTTGAAGTAATTTATCGATTATATATTAATAGCAGTGTACAGTTCAAATTCTAAACTTTCCTAAATGTCAATCAACTACTTTGTATTAAACTTTGTGTTTACTGACAATTCAGAGTGACATGTATGTATACTTGTTTACAATTCCACTATGTTTATACTATTTTATTCCTTATTTTAGATTTTATACAATTTGTATGATACATGGCAGAGTATTGTCAAGATTGCCGGAACAATTATAACTTCTAAAGAATCCACTGTATATAATCCTGTACTTCTACAATGGATATTAACTACACGTCATAAATTTGTTGAAGCTATCTTAAATTATCCAATAATTCAACTATCACATAATTATCAATGTAGTCAGTGTTTATGTAAAACAATACTTGATACTTTCTTATCTATTGGTGAAGTCCAATTGAATAATTTGTTTAGAGAGTTCTCAAATCAATACGGTTGTATTGATTATTTACTTATGGAATCTGTACATAATCTAAATGATCGGATCACATTGTGTATACAGAAAATTGATGCCTATCATTTACAATTGAGAAATGTGAGTAGTTCTTTTATCTCATGAAGTCTTTTTATTCAACAGACGCTAGAAACTTAATTTCAACACATCATTGTATATTTAAGTTGATATCATTCAGGTTCTTAAATCACATATTTATGTAATGAAATGATAAAAACCAGTCTGTTGAAAAAAGGGAGAATTCTTTATTTTCTTGAATTACCTATTTCCAAACAATGACGATTTTGTGTTCGCAAATTATTCTTTCCATTGACATTTTGCTTTGTTTAAACTATGAACAGTCAATTTAGTTTTAACGTGGGATTTTCAAGGTGTAAATATCTTCCGGATTCATCGTTTTAAACTGTATGATCTTTTCTACAGGCCATATAATGATATCTTCATTATTTGAAGTATACCATACCCTAAAACGAATCATAACCTAATATTTACGTATCACATTATGAAGAATATGTATAGCATATAGAGATGCTAACACTAACTAGATTACATTGAATAAAGTACACTAGCTGTTCATTAGTTGATAAATAATTCTATGTTTCCTATGTTCTAACATCTAAGAACATTTGTCTTTCAGACATATGAACTAACTTTTAATGAATCTTGAATTGATTGAATTTGGATATTAGACACCGCTGGATATTGCTCCAGTGCTGTAGAGACGTTCACGCATGAGACTGAAGGTTATAGGTTCGATCCTTGGGTGCGAAGTCTTGGTTGCGCACTCCTGGGGAGTCCAGTACTAAAACGAAACGAAAATTCAATAGTTCTAGGTTTAAAGTGATTGTAAATTTAGGATTCAAACTTTGAAAATCCTGATAGGGCTAAGATGTATGTCTATACACGATTTTCTACTGATTACCTTCAGTTGTTCAGTACCAAATGAAATTTAACAACGATATTTAGGTTAATTAGATCAGACTACTTTATTACAAAAAGTATTGGTTTTCCAAGGCGTAGAATTGTATATATTTGATTGAGTATTTGTGCATTTTATTCGGTAGCACAATATACTTTCTCGTCCACTCTTGCGTCTTCGTTCAAGTAGTCAGGTGGAGGATTAACGTGTAGCACATCGTGTATCAATATCAGATTTCGGACACTGTCCATCATAACAGGTTTACAGAACTAAATAAGCATTCCGGATTGAATAATTTATAACATTAGTCAATTAGTCATTAAAAATATATATGACATAGAATCTGGCACACATGTGTATCGTTTCAATTTGCCACACCACATTAGCATAGTAAGATGAAATTACTTAACAAAATCTCAAAGTAGTAAAAAGTAGAAATAGTATCAGTGGTAGTCTTAAAAAAGGCTGTATATAGAAAGTGGAAAAACGTTTACGAAGATTTCAGGTAGTAGGATTTAAGGGAAGATAAAAAGGTAGCATTAATTACAATTTAGTGGCTATCGGTTTGTATGCATTGATTAGTAAATTACAAAATTTCTTTCTCTTCAGTGAGACATGGATTAAAATTCAGGAACTCATTGAATCCCGTAAATGCGATAGGGTCCCCACGTGATTTTTTAACATTAAAGATTCATACTGTATAAGTTAGATTAACAAATATAAGCGAAAAATATTGTTTTCAATTAAATCATCATCAGGTTTTACTTTAATATACCTGAATATTCATATGAATTGTTTTTAAACCAATCAAGGAAGTTTAGGAGTTAATGTTTACAATGAAATAGATTGTTCAACTTCACATAATGAGTAAAAAGCGATGCCCCTAAATGCCCTGGTATGGCCAAGAGTGGGAAGTGTCCGCTCTCTCTCTCGAAATGCTCTCATTTAGCCACGCGTATATAGCCTCTGTCAGGGAAGTCCTACTGACTGCCTTATCGTGACGGGGGTGTTGTTTACGAAATTTAGAGGACGAAAAGCGAATGTCAGACGCTTTAACCAGGTTGGTGGATACGGAAAGTTCACCTAGGGGAGTTGGAAAACCACCATTCCAAACCAATGGTACACATGGGCTCCAGTATCCTGATGGAACAAATGGCGTATGAATCAATCGTTTATCACTGGCTACCATGAGACTGCATCTCCTCACGATGCTCCACTGCCTTTTGGATCAGATCTTTAGGTCAAAGGCTCCGGGTGTGGCTCCCTAAGTAAACCACCTGCTTCGGTCTGGGTACCTGATCAGTATCACAGTCCTCACACAAATCGAATGATTTATGTAGTGCATACATATCTGGTGCCTCTTTGTACCAATATTTATGTGTTCAAATAATCAATAAAACAAAAGTACAAATGAACACGGGATGTAAAAAAAATTAATGAAATCGTTCACCATGTTATATCCGGTAAAGACAGGGACAAGGATGTCACAATTCTCTTCTAGGCATATAAACAAAGGCTATAGATTCGGTTCCTAACAGCTTCTGCTATGTATAGTAGATTAGATCAAACTTCAATCATAGATGACAAATTTATACTATAGATCACTCGAAATGAGTCTGTTTCATCTACTATATTCCTAATGTCAATCAGATATCCGAAATTGCCTTGATTAGTCTGAAATTTTCATATAAATATTTATGTATATTTGAGTAAAGCCTGATGATGACGATCTAATTGGAAACAATATTGTTCGTTTATATTTGTTCTAATTTTCACAATGGAAATCTTTAATTTAGTAACTAACTAGTAAAATATCTGATAGTATTTCCTTATTCACGCTAGCAGCAAACTAAGTCTTATTACAAAGTCTCTTCAAGTCATATGTATTGCTTGTAAAACTGTCCACATAACGAGGTGAATTTCATAATACATGAAAATATTTGATAGTGTTGTTTTCGAATTGATCGTTATTTGTTTTGACTTGTACATGATGTCAAGTATATTCTTATACCTCAAAACACGTAACACCATTTTTATAATAGTAATAATAATGATCATTATTATTTTAGACCATAGTCACTGATTTCTTGACAAACCATCTCCTAATATTGCGTAGAATAGTTTGCAGGTTATCATGTATTTATAATTCACTTTCACTTTTCGTTCATTTGATACATAAAAAGATATTTGATACTCTTGTAATCTGATAAAGATTAGTTATTGGTAGATTGTAAGGTGAAAGTTTCAGGTTGTCGACAGGAAACCCTGCTTAATCCAGGTTTTGTGCTATTTGGCTCCCATCAGCAAGGTTTACCTGTAGTCGTGGGGAAACTGATACTCTTCAGAGAATTTGACCCTTTGTCACTCAGCTTTACGGTCAGGGACTTTACTACTATTCGGGCTGCGACTGGTCTCCTGTCCTGTAAGACTGTGATGTGTTTACGATTGAATAATCACTTAGTGACTAATGTTGTGTATATTACGTCCTTTTTAGTTCTGATCGAATTCTATCGATCAAGTTCAAATGGAAATATCGTACATATGTAACTTTTTCGTTTATTTGTACTTTCATACAATTAGATCGCAAAATTGAAGCTTCCTAATGATCAAGATACAGAACTCACCAATAACCTATTGAAAACTTTTGATCATGTGAATTTGGCTGATTCAAATACTGTAAATTTACGTCATGCTTTATCTCATTGGAGTGCGATTCTCTTAAAGAAACTTGCCAATGGTCGTAATTTTAAACGACATTTAACTTATTACTCGGAGAAACTACACTCTTTACTGCTCAATCTAAAATCTGCTCAAACAATGGAAACAGATGATTATGTAGAGATTGAGGTAATTATAACAATTAAACTTTTTGGGGGAATTTAGTTTACTATTTCACTGTGATGATAGTTTAAATAAACGAAATTTGAATGTATCAAACACACTAAAATGTCTGATCAGTGTTATCGCTGTTCAAAGTTTCATTCATTGGTGATTAATTTGAAATTATTATCCAGGATTCTGTGGAAAACGGAATGATGCTGACAAGTACCTTGAGTATTCGTAATCTTCACTGCTAGTCATATTATGTTTCTTTTGTAACGTTTGAGTATTTTATGCTTGTGATACTGTATATCTACCAAGTTTCTAGATATTTTGATTGCCTCTGACTATATACAAGTTAAAACGAGATAAATCACGAATTATTCTTCACTAGAAAACCAATGAAAACCTACAGACACTGGGCGGCCCTTTCTTCTTGGTATGGAGCTTATGATAAGCGCTCATCCACGACTCCGCCACAGAAAATCAAAGTTAATCATGTAAACTATAGGGTGTTGGCTCAGCATTCTGGAGATTAAGCGTTCTCACGCGAGGCTGAAGGTTCTGTGTTTGTTTTCACGTGCTAGCTTCATGGATGTACATTGCTGAAGAGTCGTATACTGGTTATTACTGTTGATCTAGCTGAAATCATTTTGTCATTTCAACTATGGGATTTCTACAAAACTCTATACCGTTAATAATCAGATAAAGTTAGTATGGTGTTGGGTCGATACTAGACAATAATTTATGAAATTCACGACTGTTGAGAAGAGCGGTGTCTTTAGGTTCATACTTCTCGGTTGTTAATTGTTAACAGAGATATTGGGTGACATTTCAAAATACTGATCTCAGTGATACGGTAACATTCATTCTTTACTTTCTTTTAAATCTTGAGCTATGTGTATTTCCTAACTTTTCATTCTCCACTTTTATATTCACCTATTGTTTTACTGTATTAGCTTTTTATTTTTGTCAAATTCATCTCCTCCTAGTATTGATGTAAGGTGTAACTAGTCATAATTGTTTTCAAATCTAGTCAAATCTGCTTTCAAAAACTGACTACCGGGTATCATAATTTCTATCAAAAATTTAAGTGAATAAAGGAATAAAGAACAGTCGATTTAACGCAACTTATATAACAAAGTTAAAAATGTTTTTTTTATTCTCTATCAAATTAAGGATACATTTGAAAACAAATATCACATAGCTAATTGTAGGGAACACTGGTTACATATCGCAGAACAACTGGATGAGGAATTCTGATGTTAGATGTGCGGTACTGAGAAAAGATGGTAATTAATCACTTGATGAAACTGCCAGTTGTTAACAACTGAGGTTGATTAGATATGTGTTACGTGTTCCCAACCAACACCTATCTGGATGAGCCATATTGGATGCAGTAAGAATAGGTTAAAAGAAAACTAGCAGAGGAAACCGAAGTGTGACATCAGTCTATGAAATCATCGGCTGTTGATCATTTAAGTCATATTGGCAGGTTCAGACTAATTTAGTCAGGGTCTTCAAAATAACCGCGATTAGTAGTTGCAAACGCTGAGTAGCATGGTTCACAACCCACCACAATGACACAGATGTATCAATTCTTCATATCTGTATACAGATCTTGAGTTCTAGTATTCCTTTATGTACACTTTTTCATCCCTTCTTGAACTATCTTCTCAATGTTTAATCCTTTACTTTGTAATGACTACTACAGCAAGGATTTTAGTTTATTTGCTTTTTATCTTGTTAGTCTAATCTCTTTTATTGATTTTGTTATCACAACCTGTTCTAAAACACATTTGAGACACGCTGTTTGCTGGTTATGATTGACTGACATTTTTAACAATACAATTACAGAGCCGGCATCCAACGGTGTTAATGTATAACTTTAACTGATCCACGAAATTGAGCAACCATTCACCAATGTCATCAGTGAGTTACTATCTTACAACAGACCTGGTTGAACTCCACCGGTTACTGCTTCTCGTGGATCAGTTGAAGTTAGACATTAACACCTTGAATGCCGACCAGCTCAGTGGTCTAGAGGTTAAGGGCTCTGACTCGAGACTGGTAGGTCTTGGGTTCGAATCTCGCGAGTGTGGGATCGTGGATGCGCACTGTTGAGGAGTCCCATATTAGGAAGAGACGGCCGTGCAGTGCTTCCAGGTTTTCCATAGTGGTCTAGCTTCAATTGACTCATGATCTCAACTCTATAAAATTACTAAAATCTCCACAAAACCCCTTCTGATAATACAATTACTGTTCATCATCTTAGATTTAGACCAACAATTCCTTTAAAAGTATAAGATTTTTCTAAATATTTTAATGAACAGGAACGCGAGTGGGGATAATCGTTTGAGACTAAAATTACAGACTATCTCACTAAAACCTGGCAACCATACAGCAAATAGTTAATTTGCAAACTATCAATCAGTTGTCTCAATCTTGACCGTTCCTACTGCAAATACCAGTCAAAAGTCTGCGATTATTATTTTTCATGCATGTTCATACGAATTGCGTTTCGTTTCCGTTCTTTCGTTATCGATCTTCTAGTGAAATACATTCTCTGCCTAACCATCGTCATATACTACTTATTTCGATGTAAGCAACTCACAGCACAATATCACTATAAGACAATATGATTGATGATAATTGATGGGATAAGGTCATTGATCATAAATTTAGTTACAATTTAGAATAAACATAGATTTGAATCTTGTTAACATAACTTCCAGCTTTCTTTCAAATAATTTATTATTTTCAATAGTTGAGATCATGAGTCAATTGAAGCTAGACCACCATGGAAAACCCGGATGCAATGGACGGCCGTTTCATCCTATTGTAGGACTCCTCAGCAATGCGCATCCACGATCCCGCCTATCGAAACTCTAATCTAGGACTTAGCAGTCTCGCGTGCGAGCGCTTAACCTCTAGACCACTGAGCTGTCCGGCATCCAACGGTGTTAATGTCTAACTTCAACCAATCCACGAAATTGACCGACAGATCAACAGATCTAGTTGAACTCCACTGGTTACTGCTTCTCACTAGAACTTCAGGAAATACCTTTTGAAGCCAGTCACTAGTTGTTACGTCCTTGACCTGTTTACCCGCTTTCGTGCCGAGGATAACTTATCTAATGTAGATTAAGACCTTAAAGCGATAGACTGACTAGCTTAACCTTGAGGCTATTATGCGTGATTCCGAAGTGAAGGTAGAGAGACGAAAACTATTCTATCCCTGATTCTCTGACAAGCATGCGCGGGAGAGAAGACAAGACAACTGGAACACTACTCGAATTCAGATTAGTGTAAAAGTATACATGAATAAGTAGATGACCAACCTGACTACAACGTACAACAATTAGGAAAATACAATTATGTCCAAAACTGGGCGATTAGAGTAGAAAATAGAGTACAAAATGTTACGTCTAAATTACAATAGCTTTGGAACAGAAAAGGCTATGGCAATGAATTATACATCAAACGAAAGCTTATTATCTATAGAACAGACTAGGGGTAAAAGTAAATGTTACTGTTATACAAGCTTTGAATTAAATGAAATATCGTCCCCAACAATAGCTTGTAGTTTGTCAAGGCTTCTTATTTCTCATCACTAATGAACATATGTTAATGAATATCAGAAGGGGGGTTTTGTGGATATGATAGTAATTTTCATAGTTGAAATCATGAGTCCATTGAAGCTAGAACACCATGAAAAACCTGGAAGCACTGCACGGCCGTCTCTTCCTAATATGGGACTCCTCAACAGTGCCACGATCCCACACTCGCGAGATTCGAACCCAAGACCTACCAGTCTCGAGCCAGAGCCCTTAACCTCTAGACCACTGAGCTGGTCGGCATTCAAGGTGTTAATGTCTAACTTCAACCAATCCACGATTTTGAACAACCGTTCACTAATTGTCTTCAGTTAGTTAATATCTCTACACCAGACTTGGTAGAACTCCAAGCTTTAATAGACTTATGATTTCAACTAGGAAAATATTAAATTCTTCATAAAACCTCTCTTTGATCTATTATAGTAATTTCAATAGTTGAAATCATGATTCTAGCTTCCATTGTAATTATTTTCATAATTATTATTAAACCCATTTTCTATCCTTTATAATTGCTGATTTTTAATTATTTACCTTTCCATAGAAACGTCTATCTTATTTACAAGTAATAATGGATCAACTTAATAAACTATTAAATGATCTTCAATTAATTCCATTTCAAACATCTATCAATTATTCAATAGATTTTATCAATCTTATCAATGAACTACTAATAACACGGCAACAAACTATTATTCAGTATATATTAAATAAACATTTAAAATATTATTTATCAAGATTACGTAATCATTCAACAGTTTATCAACGTATTCTACATTTATGTCAACTTGGTAAAGATAATTGTAAACAAATTATTGAAGAATTGATTAGTGTATTAAATTTTAAAGGATTGACAAATTCATCCAATACTACTAATAATACTACTACTAATAACAGTAATGATAAATTTATAGATTTACAATATTTAGAGAAACCACTTTTTAGAAGTCATGTGAAATCTCCAGGACCGGGTGGATTAGAACAGGTTTGTTGGGTTTGTTTTTCTTTTTCTTTTTCTTAAAATCTTATTTAAAGATAAATTGATTTGCGGAATTCAGTTTAATTTAAAGACAGTTTTAATTACAACTTGATTCTAACTTGGTAATCACTGAAATTAGAGTGTAATGTACAAATATTTTGTTGTATTTTAAAACTCTTCATCAGTGCTCACTTAAACTAAGATGAAGTAGCCCTCTTGTTCTTTATGATTTTCAATCAGTCTCTAGTAGTTGTCAGTCGGTGTAAAAAAAAGCTATCTTCGAAAAGGATTAAATCCAACGCGAAATCTAGTTATTATTCATTATAGTTTGACTCACACCCGGAGCCTTTGACCTAAAGGTCTGATCCACAAGGCAGTGGAGAATCTTGAGGAGATGCAGTCCCATGGTAGGGGTGATCAACGATTGATTCATACGCCATTTGTTCCATCAGGAAACTGGAGCCCATGTGCACCATTGGTTTGGAATGGTGGTTTTCCAACTCCCCTAGATGGACTTTCCGTATCCACCAACCCGGTCAAAGTGCCGGGCATTCGCATTTTGTCCTCTAAATTTCGTAAACATCACCCTTGTCACGAGAAGGCGATGAGTAGGACTTCCCTGACAGAGGCTGTATACGCGTGGCCATGTGAGAGCATTTAGAGAGGGAGAGCGGACTCTCCCCATTCTCGGCCGTACCAGGGCATTTGGGAGAGATCTATAAATTTTAACAGTCTTTAAATCATTCTTATTTCCTGAAAACAACTAACCTCTGTTTACTGATAACCACCTACTCTTTATAAGTGAATTTTATGAAATTTTCATAACGAATAGCAAAGTGTTTGGTTTTTCAAAAAATGAACCTTCACATTTGGTAATATCAAAATTCATTTAAGTGAAATTGCGAATTGATTTAAGTTGGAAAATGTCAGTCTTTGCAATATTGGCCTAATTGCTCACTCACTAGTGGCATGTAAATTTGTTTGTTGTTTTCCTCAAATATATTTACTTTTGAACTAGATTGAACTAAAATGAGAGAGTTCCTCATTGCTCTTTTGTTTTCAGTAATGTATCATTCAATGCCATCTTTGTGATATTCGTATGCGTCAACAAGAATTACTTTTCATTCTGGGTAAAATTTGACCTTATCTTGATATTCCTACTCACTTTATTTAGTGTTGATGTTTGAAATATTACTACTCAGCTATTCAGTTCACGAGAAAATCTTTAGTGTGTTATTAAGTACTTTAATTGATCTTTTGGTAGTAACCATTATCATGGTCTCTAGTTCTTTATCGTATATAGTTCTATCAGACACACAAACCACATTTAGGACTTCTTTTTGAACATTTAAAACCATCCCAAATCACTTCTACTGCACCTCAAAGTATTTACCACATTGTAAACTGAGAATTTAATTCAGTTCCAGATATCTCAGGACTAATTGCTTTTTTTCAAAATTATTTATTTAATGGTATGCGGTTTTTGGTCAACCAAATCATAACCCCAGACCTGATGAAATTGTTACTGTTTGTGGGATTGAAACCCTTCATATCCAGTCAGTCAGAAATGTTCCTATTTCCTCTTAAGATGTTTTCTATTCTACGAATAATAACAACTTTTATACGTTAAAATTAAACGCTTTATATGAATGAATATTTGCATACATAGTGCATGACTTATCATGTGCTTTCATCCAGCAGATAACCTTGTCCGTTAACTAGATTTTGCCAACAATCATTGTTATTCTATAATGTGTATATCTTGATAAAAGTATAATTTATAAACTATTTTCGGTATAAAAGGTAGACTAGAACATAAAAATTAGTACATCAGAGTTAGCTGCTTAGTACATATTGGCAAGGATATAATTTATGGAGGAATCAATAAAAATAAAGATTGCGAGTCCTGAATTTCGGTGCGAAATTCGTTCATCCATGTTTGAATAGCATATTTGTGTTATTGCTGATATCAGTTTGTGATGAAAACCTTACCTTTAATTCGTAGCTCTACATCCCAATCGTAATTCCTCACATTAAGTTATTAAACTCTTTTGATCCTGATAATTAGGTGAATTCTCTTAAAGTCATTTGACGTCGCTTAAAAGTCATTTGTAAATTATAGTCTCACCTAAGTATATAGCCAAAATTAATATTTACATCACTTAAAATTAGGATATAAGAAATATTCCATTTAACACCATGTACCCACTGGAAGTGAAACGGAACTATAGACTTGAGGTTAGAAGTACTAAACGTCAATTTTACGATGGGCTAGCAGTATATACAACAAACTGCAAACGGTGAGGGGCTGCTTGGGTTGTTGGTGTTATCCTAAGAAGAGTTAGTGACAGAATTTACGAAGTTGTTGTCCGATGAATATGTCTGACACGACATGTGAACCACATACTGCCTACGAAACTTACGTTAATTAAAGAACACCCACAACGTCCAACGTACGATTAGATTACCTTATTGATAGAGTTAATCAGGAACAATCAGTTCAGAAAAGCAAAAGACAATCAAACCATAAAAAGATCAAGAAAACATTGACTTCTCAAAATACCTTCATTTTCAGATATCAAAATAAGTATATAAATGACTAATAATGTAACTATGAAACTTACTATGAATCAGAAAACTATACACTCTATGTCAACTTAATATTCCTCAATCTGCCGACCTAGATAAACCAAATTTTCGATGATAGAGTTTGTTAAGAAAGGAAATGAAGATAGGAGAGGAAGAATACAATCATTATGTGATACAATTTTACAACATACTAACGTCTGTTACCTCCAATGGAGCATAGGCCACCGACCAGCATTCTCCAACCCACTCTTCCCTTGGGCCTTCCTTTATAGTTCTATCCAATTTTTGTTCATTCTTCTTACGTCTGTCTCCATCTCTCGGCGTAATGTGTTCTTTGGTCTTCCTCTTCTCCTTTAACCTTCAGGATTAATTTTACAACTTACTTCATAATGAAATCTGTATACAAATCAAGATGGACCATTATTTAGCTGGAAAATCTAAGCGCTACAGCCAATGCTTTTAAATGGTGATAACTAATCTAAATGCCAAAACATACAGTGGATTAGTAAAATATGAAAATCATACATTAAATACATCGTTTACACATCTTTTAGTTGTCTCTTACAAACTTCCTCTTCCCTTCATTGCTGCTGTTATTTTGATTGGTTTTGGTTTACTTCTGTCTTTTCATTTTCCTCTTCTGTCAGTAAGAATCCTACTTCTCATGCCTGATACATACCACTTATATATGTTCGTATGAGTAGTACATACCATACTTCTATCAATCTTCTATTATTGGATATACTTAAAGGTATCTCTTGAACTACTTTAAATTCCTTTTTAATAGTCATAGAATATCAGGTTGAACTATGTAATTCAATAAATTCATTCATACTGCACGGATTGCCTTGATATTGCCTTAAGTCACAAGCATTATAAGCAAAGATGGATGGTCGCTAGGAGTGAAATCCGGGACGCGCGTTTCGTACTGGTTTCGAGTCTCGAAGTGACACATCAACTCGGGTGTTGGTACATCCAGATGACAAGTCCCAAATAGGACCAAATGCGCATTCTGGATTCCACTGTTAACCACCACCCATTTTTCCTTATAATAGCTATCTAGTATTTATGACATTTTTATTCACTTAGAAAAATATGTTTTTGATCAGCATGAATAATCACAATCATTTCTCATATCGATTAACATGTAATTTCATTCGTAGTTAACCTGACCGTTGTATTATTATATTATGGCTTCTTTTTCAATCTAGTTATTTTGTAAACTTTCTATGGTTGATAAATATTGTACTGAAGCTCAAGGATATCTTCGTCAATCAGATTCCTTGTTCCCCTTAAAATCTATATCATCTTCCAATGATTATGAACAAATGATTGATTCTGGCGGATCAGAAACTTTTCTTAATGAATTAACTGAGCAACTTGTCATGTGTATATTATCGCCTTCAGTAGTGAAAAGAAAAATTCAATGTCTAATTGAAAAGTCCGAAAAATTAAGAAATGTACTATCTGCATTGTAAGTCAGTACTCTTTTTTTGAAAATAAAATAATTTATTTCATTCGGATTGGTTCCTTGAATCGTCTCGTTGACATTATGTACTGCAATTGATTAACCTCTTTTGGCATATATGCATCCTGTGAAGACTGCCTCCATACTCCCATTGAGTCACAGATATTTTAGCAGATTTAGATGATGGCTCGCAGTAGAATTCATCACACATGGCTTGTTCTATTTGGGATTCGCCATCTAGATGTACTTTCACCACAGTGTTGATTTTCACATCTGGACTCGAAACCTATTGATATGTCTTGTGGGTTGAACGCTTATTCAGATCCTAAGCTATTCGGACAACCCCAGGCTAGCACTACTCAGCAACTTGAAGACCAGAGAGAAGACACGAGTTGCGAGAAGATGCATTATTGCAAGGTTCAGTTTTGTACAGAAAAATCGTAAGTATTTATAGATGTTTGCTTAAGTTAAATCAACATCCTAATTCAGCCAATCCAATAAACGACATATATTGCTACTGACCAATGGTAGCATGCCACGTTGGAACTCCAGAATGTTCTGTCGTGCTCTGATTGGTTGGAGTTCTCTGGAAACCGACTTAACACCTATCGTGTTATACATTTAGCTAGCGATCCTAGATAGCCAGTGAGATACTAACTGTTCTTTGGGGAGTAAAAATCAGTGTAACTATGGTGCCAGGTGGTTGGAGAAGAAAACATCAGAAAGCTCAAAATTCCCTTCAGTTAGCGCTCATCATCAAGGTGTACACTTTCTATCCAATTTACCATATCATTTTTTAAACATTCATTCATTATTATTAGTCTTACCATAAATCTTTTTGTCGATATTTTCACATTTTTTTCAGTGAGGATAATGCAAATGAAATGAATGCCTTCCGAGATCAATTATGTTTAGCTGTACCACAATTAACTGGATATCATTTATCTAATTTGATAAAAGCTGTAGATCATTTGGAAAGATTGACTAGTAGAAATTTAAATGAATCACATTTTCCAACTGATCCTGTTGAAAAAAGACATCCAGAGTTAGGTGGATATTTGAAGGTAAGAGAATGTTTAGTCCTCATACTACAACTTGTAATGTTTTCTTTTTTGTAAGATATACCTCATTATTGAAACTTTTAACTCTCTATCTCGCTTCTGGTATATAAGCCACTGTTACATCACTTAAACTTTAAAGTTTCTTTTCTGATATCTGAGCGTTTATCCGTTCAGAACTATTCCTTTCTCTCGTGAAGTTATGTTCATTATCCAATGTTAGTGTCAATTTATATTAGTAATGATTGAGATGAACTCCAACTAGATAATTGATTAGTTCTATGTGAACAATAACATGGTCTAATTTTTTATACTGATGTAAGATAATGTCATTCTCTGTTGCTTAACTCGGTCATTTTACTGACGCTTTTCCTAAGTACATATGTAAGCTTTGTAAGCTAAGAGAGGTTCTGACCAGTCAGATATATTTGATATATTTGTTTGCTTTTTATCTCATTTTCTTTTAATCATCTTCGTATTTTTATTTTTCAAGCATGCTGGTCAACGCTTAATGGAATTGGAAACTTGTTTAGAACATAGTCGTGAAGCTGCCAGCATTCTCATCTATTTTGAATATGAATCTCAATTTTGGTCGACATCACTAACATCATTTCCAAGTAAAAATAACTCCAGTCATGAAGCTTTACATGAACGTGGTCTTCTTTTACAATCTAAATTTAAAAATTCTCCGGTAGCTATTAAGCTTCACACAGCATGGATGAAATTAACACAATTAGGGGACCGCCTTGGCCGAATACAAGCTGGGTAAGTTTTGTGAGAAAACATTGTGAAATGTATTACGCTTTCGCTAAAATTGTAATACATAATACCGTTAAACATCGGCGGTCGCCCAAACTTTCATTTTTGTTGTTTAGATGAAAGATAACAACATGAATCGATCAATTTTTCTTTGTTAAGTTAGATTGATCTTAATATTTTTCACAATTGTGATCAAGTTAATAAGTGGATGGCCTTCCTAGATGAATTTAGTTTGTGCGCCAACATTTTCAGTTCACTAGAAGTAACTTGTTCACATTCCATCTCTAAGAAATACTAATAGACTACTCGAATTTAATGCATATATATATATATATATATATATATATTGAAATGGTGTTATTTTTTGTAATACAGGTTACCTGTTCGTCCATCTGAGACAAATGGAGTAGAGCATTGGGTAAGTAGAACTCATTTAATTCATGTCTCTAATATATGCATGTATATATTCTCTGTAGAAGAATATACTTGTATTTCTTCATAGATTTTAAATTAAATGAACTAGACAGGCAAAGTGTTATATTCAATATTTTCATAGTTGAAATCATGAGCCAATTGAAACTAGACCACCATGGAAAGCCTGGAAGCACTGGACAGCCGTTTCGTCCTATTATGGGACTCTTCAACAGTGCGGATCCACGATCCTCGGTTAAGTGCTCTGGCACGAGACTAGTAGGTCCTGGGTTCGATTCTCGCGAGTGCGGGATCGTGGATGCGCACTGCTGAGGAGTCCCATAATAAGACGAAACGGCCGTCCAGTGCTTCCAGGTTTTCGACGATGGTCTAGCTTCAATGACTCATGATTTCAACTATGAAAATACTGAAATCTCCACGAAACCCTTTCTGTTATATTCAAGGCAATAATTCCTAAAATTTATAGTTTGATATACAAATGACACATATTAGTTAGCTTGAAGTTAGTTAAGAAATCTCAATATTTCTTTATTGAAAAGTGAAAAATCTTTAGAACACAATGTATTGTGGTTTGGTTGGAAATATTGTTGTTTTCTTCAAGAATAATATGCAACTTATATCACTTTGTTCAACATTTGTAGTCGGAGAACTAAATAGATAATTGAAATCATGAGTCAATTGAAGCTAGACCACCATGGAAAACCTGGAAGCACCCCTTCTGATTATAATCAGAAGCTCACAAGTTACTGACTTCAAGATACATGTCTTGGAGTTCTAGTGGGAAGTATTGACCAATGGAGTTCAACCATATCTGTTGTGAGATAACAACTCACTGAAGACAATTGGTGAACGGTTGCTCAACTTCGTGGATCAGTTGAAGTTAAACATTAACACCATGGGATGCCGGCTCAGTGGTCTATCGGTTAAGAGCTCTGGCACGAGACTGGTAGGTCCTGGGTTCGAATCTCGCTAGTGCGGGATCGTGAATGCGCACTGCTGAGGAGTCCCATAATAGGACAAAACGGCCGTCCAGTGCTTCCAGGTTTTCGATGATGGTCTAGCTTTAATTGACTCATGATTTCAACTATGAAAATACTGAAATCTCCACAAAACCCCTTCTGATTAAATAGATAATATCTATAATCATGGATCTGAACTGTCGTATAGTTGTTTATTTGAGTAGTATCTGTAGGTTGATTAAAATAACAAAACACAATAGTTAGTGTTTTTTGGAAGGGAGGATTAAAACCAATATCAACTAATAAACAAGTTAGTTTTATTGAAACGTTATCTTTTTAAATATTTCTCCAATAGTATTCTTAGCCTCTCTACTTTTCCAAAGACAGTTCAGATCAAATAAGTGCTAAAGAATTTATGGGTTATAGATTAACATCACACTGTGAAGTAAATTACAACTATGGATTACCCTAGATACTGTACATCTCAGTTGACTTAGCATTCAAAATCTTGAATAATTCATTGTTTTATTGAATCAAGAGAGAAAAGACTCAAGTTATACATCTTTAACATGAAACTAATTATCATAAATTAAGAACACAAGAGTAATGAAGTTTATAGTATCATAGGAACTGTACTGTATTCATCATCTTATATTACATGTGCTCACTATTCAACGCACCTGCTTTTTGAGTTCAATAGCTTAGTTAATCTAGTTCTTAAATAAAATTGATGTAAATTTATCATTCAACTATTAGTTGAAATTCATACTTTATACGTGTTCACGAAGGAAACCCATACTTCTTTATCGTCAGTGAGATGTCCCTAAACCTCCTTACCAAAAGACCAAAAGACCTTTGTCATCGCCATTAATACATTATTTTTCTCCATTTCTACAGCATCACTTATCTCCAACACAAACTCAATCACATATGTCAAATGAACTTCAAACAAAATTAATGAAGAGTGAGACGAAAAGAATTTCTAAATGGAGAAAAGACGATTCAGACGTATTAACAATAGAATTTCCTTATGTTAGTGCTGATAAGTTACGTCGCAAACAAACTAATCTAAGAGATGCATTAGGATCACATTTGTGTGTTCATCCTGATTGCAAAGCTTCAATAGGGGAATGCTTATCATCTCATACTCAAGACAATGAGAGCCAGGTATGTTTTATAATATGCCCACATTTTCTTGATGCTTTAATGTCTATATTTGTCATGATACACTTAATTATCAGTGTCTTAATTTAAGTCACATGAATTTCGCACTTATTCATTGTTGGGATAGTAAACCGAATCTTGTTCTTCTGTCTTGTATAAAAAGAGAAAACTTTAGCTTCAAACTGCCTGTCTTAAACTACCTCCTACGAATTTCGAATGTAATCAAAAATTACCAAAAGTTTCGAGTGTTGAATATCTGTTATGTCATGATAGGCCTAAAGGTGGTGAGAACTAATAATTTATTGAAGGAATGTCGATAGGCGAAAAGGAAGAAGTATGGTAGGAATGAAACATCAGTTTTCACTTAGAATTTGTAAGGTTAGAAGGAGTACATAGGGCAGCTTAGAAGAAGACACTTTTGTATAAAGAAATAAGGTTTAAATTAAGGAATTGCCGTAAACAAACACATTCTAATTCAAACCTTCCTTTAATCAGTTCTTTTGACTTTTTAGATAACTTTGAGCTATCATTCTCACGACTACAGCTGACTGTGTGTTCAAAAACTTGGCTATTAATTAACTTGAATTTCTGTTTTGCATTAGTTTACGGTTCATTTGGTCATTTGTATGTGTTAGGTAACTTATGCCCTGCTTGAAACCGGCACTTTTATGTTTCGCTAAGTCTTTTCATGAAAAGACAGTGTACACATCATAATAATTATTAGCTTCAGTGAATGACCTCGTTGTCGTCAATACTGACAATAATATTCGTAGCCCGTGCTTTAGGTATTTATGGTAATTCCAAAATTTAGTCAGTCCTGTTTTCAGTGACAACATAATCTGTTTATTGTTGGTTGATCGAATACTTCTTATATCACTCCTTTTGGAATTGAGTTCCATTCTTATCTTTTGGAAAATAAAAAAGAAGCTGATAGAGTGCAGACTCTTTTCGTAGCAATGAGCAATAATACTAGGATGCTTGGACTACTTTTCTCCTCCTCTAAATGCAAATTGTTGCCTCAGGACTTGCCCGCGTCAACACCTGAACTAAGGATAGGGAGTGAAGTAATCGGATGCGTCGAAAAATTCATTTATCCTGGAAGTTTGATCAACCCTAATGGGTTGGTGTCTGACAAAATCTCAATACGGATTCGAAAAGCTCGTTTGGCTTTTGTAAAATTAAATCACAAAGGCGAGATATCTGTCTACTAATTAAGGGACAAGTATACTGCACAACAGTTCGTTCTGTTCTACTTCACAGCTGTGAAACGTGATCATTAAGAGTAGAAGAGATACTCATAAGTTACTAGTATTTGATGACAGACGTCTCAGAAATATTGACAACATCTGCTGGGATCACCGGATAAATAATAGTGAGGTTAAGCACAGGGTATTAGAAAATGATGGTAAGTCAGTTGATAAGGTTGTAAACCTCCAACGACTGAGATGGTTGAACCACATATTACGTATGCCTGAACATCGATTACTACGACTTGCAATGCTGATTAGTCTCAGAAGTGGTTGGAAGAGAGTTAGAGATGGCCAAACCAAAACATGGTATTATTCAATGAAGTCAATAACTTGTGGTCTGAGTCATGTTGGTAGATACAGACTACTTGGTTTGAGTCGGTGAGACTATCGTAACCAATGGTCGGAGACTCTGTGTGACCGTAATAGATTTGTATTTGAAGTCGTATTTGTTTTTAACTTCTAATTATCTATATATAATGCTTTTTATGTAGTTTCTGTTCAACTAGTTTTTTAAAAATCCTTTTGAATGTGTTAATTTGCTTTATTTCATCAATCTTATCTCATTAGTTAAACACTCAAAATAAAATTGAGTGGATATTTAAAAGATTGATAAACTTACATACTTATCTACAAAATGATTACAATGAATCCTTTAATCGTGAAGAATTACAACGACAAAGAGATTCAATCTCAAAGTCTGAATTGTCTGATCTGGTTAAATATGCACGTCGGCTACGCTGGCATAACTCACATAGTTTGCAGTCAGAGTATCAAGAACTGAAAAATCTTATTAACGAATTAGTAAAATCTAAATATCCTAAGGTTGCCATTCTTCAAGAATATTTTCAGTCCTTAGAAGAGTTATGGTCTGGTATGGATAAATCCAAAGAAAATTTAAGTAACTGTACAGATAAGGCTACGTTGTATTTAAAATTACCGATCCCACAAAATGAATCAGAACTATATTCAACCAAATCTATCAATACAGAGATACAAGGTAATAATATTCATTCTAAACAGTATACTCCTACTGACGCTTCCTCTCTTCATCAATCAATTTTTTCACACTCTACAACTTCAACAAGTATTCCAAATAATTATCATTCTGTGTCACAAGATTATAAAACTCCTGTTATTCAAGACATAAACGATAAACCTTCAAATAATGATCCGCAGTTAGTTGAAAAACAAACAAATAGTTTGTATGATGATGAGTACTGTGATTGGACATGGCGTGAAATGACAACACATGGATTAGGCCCACAACCACTTGTGTTTTCCTCTTCTACAAATGCAAATCCTAACTATGAAAGTCCGAATCAAAGAACACATGATCCTACTAATACAGTTGATTTACAATTCAAAAATGAAACTGATAAATTTCCTGATGCTTTTATTAATAGAATGATTAGTGAATTGTCCTCAACTACTTCATCATTTCAAAAGATTTCATCGAATTGGAATGGAAATAGTTCTGAAATTTTATCTACTGAAGAAAAGAATACCTTATCTATAGACAACAAAACCCCTCCGAAGATACATAATCATGAAATAAAATATTTACCAAACCATAATTCAGAGAGTAATAATCAATTACCGAAAGTTATTTCTCCTAATTTCAACCATAGAGATTCGGCGTTACATTTTAATAAAATTTCCATCGAAGTCCCATTATTACCAAACAATATCAAAAAAGATTTTGAAATTAAATCTCACCCTCTTGAAATCCATTCTCATAATGGACTAACAAACTCCACGATTGATGGTACTCATACAAACTCATGTACATCTACTTTAACTATAAATTCAAAGTCTAAATATGATGTACCGAATAGGTTAGAAGCTTTTCATCAATCTGATAAATTAGTACCTTCAAATAATCAAATATCATCTTCCATCCTTGATCATAATGAATTAAAACCAATAAATATCTGTGTTGATGATAAAGCATCAAAAGGACTAATTCCTAACAAACTATTCAATAATCAAGTTCTTTTGAATACTCACGCTCTAGATTCATTAAGTGAAAATGTTACAAATGAGAAAAATGAAGGCGTAACCATTAGATTCTCACCTAATATAACATTGGATTCAAATCCAAAGTACGAATCCACTAGAAATAATCCTAATTTATTGAATAGACAATTACAAACATCGCTAACAGATGTAACTTCAACTACAATATATAACATTAATAAACAGTCAGAAATTCATGATGTTGACATTAATGGTTCAACTTTCTCAAATACAGTCAAAACAACAGCGACAACAATTACCATTAATTTAACTGAGCGTAAATTGAAATCTGACCAAAAAGTGATTAGTACAGAGACTATGGATAGTTGTATACCGACTTCATTATACAAAACTGATCAATCATCTGAATCTTTATTCTCTATACCAAAAGTATCGCCAATACCAGATCGTTTTCATCCTACTTTTTCTACTGTGAAAAATCTCAACATGAGGAAAACATTTAATGAAATCTACCAATGCCGTCATCTTGATTCATCTTCTAGTAACAATATTAATACTAGTGACAATAATGTCAATTCAATGTGTAGTCTATGCAATCACATGAGTAATTTACATACACTTATTTCTAATTTACAATCACATTTATTATCGAATCGACAAAATCGACTATCCAATCTATTACCTATTGATATACAATCATTCACATTAACATCATCGTCAATTTCATCTTTATCCACCTATTGGTCACCGATAATTAAAGAATATTTATCAATTCTATGTGAAATTAAATCAGAACTTGATTCATTCCAATCATTACCTTCCGCTACAGAATATAAAATTATTTATTTACCAGAATATAAGTCAATGGTGGATTTGTTAAATTTATGGAATTGTAGATTACATGATTTTCTATGTCTACGTTCATCATACTCTTCTAAATCCGGTGTTGATATATCACAAACACGTTGGCTTACACTATTTATCAGTCTTATACAACATAATGAAATTCAAGTAGAGTATTTGAAATCAGTATTCACAAGTTTACTGCATGATATTGAAAATGAAGATAATGAATCCATGAAAAGTGATTTAAATACGGATGATAATAATGATGATAAGAGTTTCTATTTATCACAAACAATCCAAGATGAAGATAATTCATCCTACATTCGAAGAGATTCAAATGTAAGGTTGAATAAATCATCTAGAAATGAATATTTAAATGACCTGAAGAGTAGATTATTTTCGTGTGATTTTGATGATCAACATACTGTACAATTGTCACTACAGCAACCGGCATTATTAAAACCACTGATTACTTTTCCAAGTGAAAAGATGAATCAGTCATTGCAGACTGAAATAACGAAAATAGACAGTGTGCATAAACCATCCACTGTTGTTACTACGACTAGCATACATGAAAAAGCATATGAAGGTAAGGAACAAACAGATGGAGAATTGAGTAATTTTGATGAAATGTCATTTGAGCAATATTTGTGTAGTCTACCTCAAAATACTACTTGTGAAGTAGTTAGTAGTATAAGTCCAACCGATAAAAAGTTGACTCATGGAACGAAAATTCCTGAATTTAAGGAAGATATTCCTGGAACCAATCAAATAACGACACGAAAAGATAGGATTAAAAATACTAGAAAACGTAAGTTCAAGAATGAAGAGTTTTCGGAAGAAAAGTATGATAACGGTGATGTCAATCATAAAGACATTTGCGATAATAATATTGTCAATAACGAACCTTGTGTTTTAACATACATACCGAGAATGATAGATAACTCATTTTTAGGTGATCAAATGTTAAAAAACGATATAAATATCGATGGAGCCGATTATTCTGATGAGCAACCAAACCTATCAGTATGTTCTAGTTCTCCAATTCAAAACAGAACAAGGTCGTACAATGCTAGTCAGATTCTCGTACAAGAAAGTGATAAAGTGAAAAGTTATGTAATTCAAAACAATCAAGTAATATTGAACGATAACTTATGCTGGTCTTCAACCGACGATAATCAAATGACTGGTTTAGGTAATGGATTAACAAAGACAAATGACCTGACTAACATCAATGATACAGTGAAGCATGGCGATGATCTGGAAGTAATACTCAAATCAGGTGAAATAATCAGTCATCCAGTCAAATCAGATAACTTATCACCATGTATTACTTTACAGTTAAATAATTCAATATCAGTAACAGACCCAAACACAGTTAATAATCAATATGACAGACATTCCTTCGATGGTAACTTGAAGAGTTCTCATTATAATGATAAGCAAATGTCCTTACGTTTTGCATTACCAGATACAAGATTATTGAAAGAAAATGATAAGAGTTACCCTCCTAATACTTGCAGTAATTCATTTAGTCCCGTAGAAACTCCATCTATTGTCGAGCCGTGTACTACATTAAAAACTGAACAAGATGCAGAAACAAATAAAACAAACATGCGAATTTGTACGGATAACCCAACTAGCATAAGTTTAGAATCAGCAGAATTATTAGTTAAAAGTAATACAAATCGAGACCAGAATTTTGGAACTCATCAGTTTTCAAAATCTACTGAAAATACGGAAAATAACAATGATAAGGCGAAAAATTATAGTGAAGAAATAAGTCAAAATATACCTAGAGACAAGCTTCATTTCCCCCTTACGGATTTTGTCCAACACGATAAGTCCAATAAAGACAATGAATGTCTATCATTGAGTGTCTCTAAGACAACCAGAGATGAAATTCATTCATATCAGTTAGAAAATGACATGCTTATATCCCCATTTAACCCACCACAGTCGGATACAGATGCGTTTTGGAAAACGACTATCAAGATTACCAGTAATAATACTGATAATGATATGAGTTCACCATCTTCACTCACATCTAATTTAAATAAACCAATAAACGATCCCCATAAATTTACACCAGCTAACAAAAAGTTACGTAAAGCAAACCGGAAGGCTGCAAATAATCATCAAGTTAAACGTGTAATGACTGACAACTTGAAAAAGCCCACTGAAATCAATAGATCCCCGGGAGAGTGTCCAATAAGTCAATCTGAGAGTTTCAATAACAAACAATCTAATATATCTGTACAATCTGAGCGGCATTCTAAATTAGATAATGGTTCAACGTCACATTCTCCATCTACACGAGAAATATCGACTACAGAAATACCGACGACAATATCATTAAAACCTGGTTTCTTTGAAAAATATCAAACAATTTCTGGCCATAACAAAACTCAATCAGATTATACTGATCACCAACATTACAATTGTAGACCAAATAATGAAAGTCTTTCAGTACCTGCTACATTGAACGATTGTACGAATTTATATGATAAGAATGCTGAGAGTTGTTTAACTACTCATCATCCATCAATCATATCGATGGAATATGAGAAAAAAATGACTGATGCTCCAGTCAGATTGGAACTAACACACGAAAATGATAGTGATTCATATATATTTAAAAATAAATCTGATATCAAGGAAATTGAACAATCTAAACCCCAATCAACTGTAACATCATATCAAACGACATTTTTGAGTAATCCTTCCACTGATATAAAACACCATGTATGTAAGAAAGGGATACAAATGAGAGAATCATCAGTAAACAATCTGATGAATACTTTTAATCAATACAGTGAAAGTGATTTTATCAAGCAGTCAGAACATATTTATCATCAGAGTAATGGTGAGAATATTGATAAAAGTGATGATCATCAATATCATAATAAACATGGTCGTCAACATCATCTTCCTGAGCATACAAAACATCAACAAGTATATAGATTAGAAAATGTTCATGTTTTACGCAAATTCCCCATGATAAATCAATATAAAGATCTTAATGAAAGATCGACTGATTGTAAAAGAATTAATAACGATATTTATGATCGAGTAAACTTATTACCTGATATATTCAATTCTGAAAGATTGACCAATGACTCAATAATCACCAATAAAAACTGTTTAGAATCTAAAGGAGAACAGCATGTGAGTTAAATTGTAATTTCTTTGGATTAACTTATGTAATAATCATGAGATTAGCAATTTGGTCTCTGTTACTAATGAAAACAAACACTTTAAGTAAAATGATATTAGATGAAGAACTGTTAGAACCAACTCAAGAGAGGACAAGATGATTATTCTTACTTAGCTTACCGTTATAGTAAATAGTGTTTCAAGATTAGGTTATAAGTCTTTAAGTCTAATGTCAAGTTTGTTAAGTAGATGTAATTTTCGTAGTTTTTAAATTACGAATGGGTCTTAGTTGGACCACCACTGAGAATCTGGGAGAACTGGATGAACGTTCTGTCCTAGTATGAAACCCCTCAGCAATGCGCACCCAAGACTCAACATCCGAAAATGGAATCCCGGACCTTCGGTTTCTTGCGCGAACTCAACATTTAGACCAATAAGCTGACATCATATGTTGGATATATCTATCTTCACTCCGCGATATTGGGTGACCATATTCCTTTACCTGTATTAGATAATTGTTCCACATTCGATATTGTTGAAGTTCACTGGTCATGGCTTCTCACCAGAACTCCATTAATTGCATCTTGAAAATAGTCGCTAATGAGAACATGATTATTATCAGTATAGGGTCGTATACATAAGATCAGTTCTTCATTTAATACTATGGAAGCGCTATAATTTCCACAAAACCCTATACTGATACATGAGATTTCTTAACTAAAATGAGTTATTCGTGAGTTTAAATCTCTTCTGATGACATTGAAAGATAACAATAATTACCTATCGAAAGCAATGGAACTCAGCTATCTCTCATAATTTATTTTTGAGTTACTTTTTGAATGATGTCATCATTGTAGTATTGTTTAGAGGACTATGAAGATTAATTTGTGCGCTAAACAACTATCCAGTGTTCCTTAGTTTTTTAATAATATACCAAATTATGTCAATTCGTGACAAAAGTCATCTAAAAATCGAACCACTGTCTAGAAAATTCCAAGCCACGTCAGAATTTTTTCACAGTAGTGCCTTTTTTGAGATATTTCTTGAATTTCTAATGAGGAATAGAGTCCAAATATTTCGAGAATGAGACAATTAGCTAACGGTGGCTCTGGATACTAACCGCGCTATATTAGAGGTTGACTAAAGTTTGAGATATGAACTTTTATGCTGAAACCCAGCGATTAGGCAGTTAAGCAAAATGCTAGTAACTCCCAGACTCTGGTGTAAGAGTAACCATAGATCCTCTCTGGTTAATGGGTTTTGATTCAGTACAAAACAGATCTCTAGTGCTCTTTGGTCTTCAGTGAACCCCCATCTAAGGTTCGTATGCGATCGAAACTACTTACAAGTGAGGTAGTTCTTATAATTACTGTACCAAAGATAATTCGATTTTTCTTCATTTTCATCAAGTATATAACATTTTTTGCAGGTAATGTCAACAAATATGGCTCGTGAAACTGACTTACATGGAAGGTGAGTTTGATACCGTCTTAATATTTATCCTAATTTGCATTTGGTTTACTCATTTATCACCTATATTGAACGTGATATTGGATACTACAATATTCACTTTTAATGTATCCAACAATTAATTAATGAAAAAATAATAATTTCGAAAATGTGAAATTCCACATAGAAAGAGGCGCTAGTCGATATCACGTGCTGAATTCACCTATTAGAATTCTGACTATAAGTTCCACAGTCTCAAGTTTACTATTCTGTCTATAGCCTAACGTCCTAGAGCCGATCAATTGTAAGTTTTGACCTTATCAGCTAACATTGAGGCAATTCGAGTGATGCTCCTAATTGGTCTTCCATCCGCAAGATTTTTTTCTAAGCCCTACTTTGAGTTCGAAGTGAAGACAGTAGCCAGCTCCCACTACATTGTATTTCAAACACACATGGGTTTACGCACAACACATAATAGACCTGAGCACACCGTAAATTGAAACATCGCACTTATAAATAAACAAGCTGAAAGTGGCTGTGAACATATGATTGAGAATAAAATGGGAATAATAATAAGTAGTATAATAATGGTTAGTGGATACAGCGAAAGCTAACAATAAGCAGAATATAAGAACATAATAATCCGGTTACTTAGTGATTATTCAATAATGATATAAAATAATAATGATAATTCATTAAATAGTTTAGGAAGTCACCATTTCCTCAATCTTTTTTCTGATACATCAAATAGCTAGTGATAAGCTAAATTATATTGTACATACTATTCAAAACCATTTCGGAAATGCTACCATATGATGAAAATTTTTTCGTCTCTTTAGCGATTCATTATATTTTCATTTGTAATTACAAAAGTAAATTTCTATTCAGAATGATACATTTCAGTATTTATGTAACGTTCAATAAACAAAACATTAAGTGTTTAAACCGAAATTTATTTCATTTCACTTCTTGAATGAAATAATTAATTAACAACAGACTGGTAGGTCCTGGGTTCGAATCTCGCGAGGCGGGATCGTGGGTGCGCACTGCTGAGGAGTCCCATAATAAAACGAAATGGCCGTCCAGTGCTTCCAGGTTTTCCATGGTGGTCTAGCTTCAACTGACTCATGACTTCAACTATGAAAATTCATTTAGATTCAAATACACGTGTTTATAAAGAAATTGTGGTTGTGAGGATTGCTTGCCTGGAATGTTGAGAGAAGTGATGTCCCCTATGGGATTCGAACCAGCGTTGCCAATTCTCACAGTTTGAAATATTTTCACTAAACTATTCGAGTGATTACATACTGTATATCTGAGTGATCTAGGCTCATTTCTCATTGGAAGCACCATTCTCCTCAATATTCCAGACACTTCATGTTGCCAAGTGCAAGCTAACCTGAAACCTACGTCCTGAATTCCCTCCCGACGACCTCGAACCACCTAATATCGAAAAGAAATGAAGTAATGGAAAATTATCATTCTAGGTTATCGGCTTATGAGTTGGATGTTTTTCTACTTCAGATTCCGACCTATTCTACCGCGTGATCTAAACAATAATATTGAACAGTGCATTTTATTACTAGACGAATCAGTACAAATCATTCAACCATTTCACATCGAAAATGAAATTGCTTGAAAATGCATATTTAAATTTAGATTCTTGATGAACGGTAAATTTTAGCAGTCACACACCACGTAATATGAAAACATATGGTCCAGGAGAAGAAAGTCTATCTGTGCTATCTATTCAAGTTGTTCAACGTGATCTACGTCATCCAATAAAGACATTATTATTTAAATGGGTTTATTTCTGTTCTGTTATAGCAACTTTACTAACCACAAAAGACTTTGAACTGAACACTATCAGCAACCATTTGTTAATTACATAGATAATATTTTAGTAAATAATCACTTTTATGATAGAGTGGTATCAAATGGGTAGCTTTTTTCAACCAACTGTTCTACTCTGATTTAAATCAACTAATTAGTAGAGAGATTAGCTCCCAAATATGATCGAATATATGCTCTTCAGGAATTTTCAGATTTTCCCGTTTTGTTTAACCATGTTATAACTTATGGACTTTTGCCACAACTCAACGATACCGCGAATTAGAGAACAGTGATTTATGAACCGGACCAATGACGCTTAAACCCGTACGAGCAGTCTACAGTCTTTATCGGTCTTTCTCCCTGCCTAGCTCTGCCTGTTGAGTCCAGAACACAAACCTCAGCCTCCGCGATATGATTCATGTATTTCAGACATACTGGGTTTACATACAAGCCAAAAAGACCACATTGCTCCATAAAACAGAAAATAACATTTGTACAAGATCTAGCCAAATGTGACTGTGACCGTGAGAGACTGTAATCAATAAACTGGGCATAACTTAATAATGATAAATCGTTCAGTAATAGTTTATAGGTCAAAATAAAGCTTATAATAAGAGGAATACAAATATACATAGTTTAGTTACTTAACAATTATACAATAAAAATACATATATAGTTTTAGCCTATAAATAGATCCCAACAGTTACTATTCATTATTCTCGTCTGGATATATCAAACCAATAAAATTAGATATTAACAAGTGTCCACTAGTGTTACTATATTAATAATCTGACTGTATCAATAATAAGTTGTATTTTAGAGATGAGAACCTCACCTAAACTTCAGAATGCAATATAGAATTTCTCCACAAAAAAGTTAAATAATTTTCCTTCTAAATCTATATCATTTGAAAAACACTTTACCTATCTTATGAAGCTTATCAATAGTTTACTCTTGTTAACAAATTCTGACTGAATATAATCCATATTTCCAACGATGCTCTCATACGGATCAAAATGGTTGGCTAGATATCAATGTTTAGTATTTCTAGGCTATGGTAGTTAGACTTAATTTCTTACTTATTTAAGAAGAACTGATTTTTCGTTATACCATACCTTCCGTATTATTCTTGATTAAACTTTTGAAATTTTCCTTATTTCTAGTGAAATTATTACTGTAAAGAATAAATCCCAGAGAAAAAGAAGAAGACGATGTTATCGATCACTACCATGCTTATTACTGTTATTACCTTTTATATTTCTTTTATTATCATTATTGTGTATATTTATTCGACCCGATTGTCCTATATTCCTACCTTGGTTAATGTGTAATGAAAAACATCCATTTGGTGAATGGATTTACAGTCCAATTGTATTCTTGCATGAACGTAATCGACCATTTTAAAGTTCATATGTTTTTCTTTTTTCTTTAATTATTAAACCGATTCACTAATTGAGTACCATATTTTCACAATAATATGTACTTCACTTTTATCTTTGATGTTTATAAATCTCATTGATACTGCATTTGTTATTGTTTTTTTTTTAGAATACATATACACAATGTGTATTTTTTTTATATACCCTACCCATGTACATCATTCAGGTACATGATTTATTGATTTTTGCACAATTTATCATTTACCTTTTTTTTACATTTCATATTTCTCAATTGTTTTTTTAATGAGAAAACTTTACATTCAAAGTTTATCAACTCGATTGCACATACACATGTCTGTTTGTGTTTGTTTGTGTGTGTGTGTGCATTTCGACATCTCATTGTGATATACACATATCTGTACAATCCTTCACTTCAATAAAATTGTATAAATAAATAAAAAATCTGTTTAATATTTCATTTTATTATTTGTCTCTTTGTCATTTGATTTTCTTCTTTTTGTTCCAACCCCTGAACAAGGGGGTGAATAAGTAGGATCAAGAAAATTAATAATTCATTTTCTTTATCATGACTGTTTAAGTTATATTATTTTATAATTATTACATGTAAAACTAGAAAAGATGAAATATGAACATTATCAGAAGGGGCTTTTGTGGAGATTTCAGTAATTTTATATAGTTGAGATCATGAATTGATTGAAGCTAAACCACCATGGAAAACCTGGAAGCATTGGACGCCGTTTCGTCCTATTGTGGGACTCGTGGATGCGCACTGCTGAGGAGTCCCACAATAGGACGGAACGGCGTCCAATGCTTCCAGGTTTTCCATGGTGGTCTAGCTTCAATTGATTCATGATCTCAACTATTTAATAATTTGAGATGTTATATAATAATATGAAAAGGATTATTTTGTATCCATGTTTTGATTATTATTTTCATTGTAACATTCATACATGTTTACACTTTCATATTTGATACTTACCGGGTTTTCTTTTCCTATTTGTCTGCTTTGTTTGTTTTGTTTTTTTATCTTCAGTTATGTTGCTAAGACAACAGATTTATGTAAAAAGAAAAAAAATGTTAAAAAACACAACTAAATAAAAAAAATGGCAGTGATTTTATGATTTAAAAAAATTCCATATTCCGTGTTTTTTTTACTTGCTCATGTAGATTTATTCAACACTTCATTGACAATAGGTAAATAAGAATTGAAAGGGATTTTGTTAAGTGAAAAGGTGTTATTTATATGGACTATTTCTACAACTTAAATAACTAAGAATATGGCTTCGTGCTCCAAACTTGCACCAAAACCCACAGGTTATGCGTCAGCAATAAGTAGAGAATGTGCATTGGGTGAACAAGTTCAAAGAACATCATAAATTTGAAAAGACTTTGGCAAACTTCGTAAGCATGACTATTAATCCTCATCCCATTTGAATGAATTAAATGTCAAAATATTAAACAAACAATTGGCACGACAAGAAAAATTAGGAATAAACCGAAAATGTTATTGAAGAGTACCCACTTGTGAACGTAGTCCTGTAAAGTTCTTCGGGGACAGTGCATTTGTCAGTGGAGCTAGTCGTTGCATATCTGGTCTATAACCATTACCATTAACTAGGTACCCAGGATATTCGAAACTGGATACACAAAATGAACAATTATTTGGACTCACCGTGATATTCTTGTCAATTAAACGACTCAACTAAGCAATAATTTTCTGGTCATGAACTACCTTATCAGTACCATGGACAATGAGATCATCTTGACAAACTTCAACACCTTCAGGATGATTGACTACCTTATTCATAACTTCCTGAAATATGGCTGGAGAACAACTCAGACCAAATGGAAGGAAGTTGTATTTCAACAGGCCGAAAAGAGTGTTAATTGTTGTCAAAATAGATGAAGATCGATCTAAAGGGATTTGAAGGTAAGTATCTTTCAAGTCCAGGGAAGTCCTACTCACTGCCTTCTCGTGGCGGGGGTGTTGTTTACGAAAGTGAGAGGACGAAAAGCGAATGTTCGGCGCTATAACCGGATTGGTGGACACGGAGGGTCCACCTAGGGGAGTTGGAAAACCCTGATTCCAAACCAATGGTGCACATGGGCTCCAGTATCCTGATGGAACGAATGGCGGAAGAACCTGCTGTTGGTCAACGGCAACCATGGGACTGCATCTCCTCACGATGCTCCACTGCCTTGTGGATCAGACCTTTAGGTCAAAGGCTCGGGGTGTGGTCCCCTAAGAAAACCACCTGCTTCGGTTTGGGCACCCGGGCAGTATCACAGCCCACACACAAACAAATGAATGAAATTATGAACTTTATTGACGATATCCCTGGTCATACTAAAAGCAAAACAATTAACATTATTATTATTATTACCTTTATTATTATTATTATTATTACTTACCATATCGCTAATTCACCCCCTTTTATCCCCAATTTGTGTAACCTTACTCTTCAACTTATGCAGCAGCTCGCTCTTGGTGGAAAATCTGTCCTATCTAAACGATCTCCAGTCACTATCTGGTTGAAAGTGAATGCTTCCACCGATTATGAATACTGAAGCAGTCTTTCTGAAACCACGTACGCCGTTCAAGCTGGCTTCCTTCAACGTTCGCACACTAATGCATATCAGACAACAGATAGGGCTGGCTATGTCTTTGGAAGGTCTTAATGTTGACGTTTGTTGTCTATCCGAGACCCGTATTCAAGACTCTAGTGAAGTACTACAAATCCGCTCTCCATCTGTCGCCTCGAAAAGCTTGTTCCACGTGCGCTTA